GGGGGGGGGGGAGTTAGCCCTCATAGCCTCCCCTGAATACGCCTCTGGCTGGTATTTGTGTTTGTTTGTGTCCAATATCCGTCAAAACGGCCGGGTACACATTTGTTTGTGGCAACGTACATGACCTCAGGGCTGGTTGAAGTTGAACAATTTCTTAGTAATTGCGACCACAAGACATACACATAAAATTCAATCAAATGTACAGATGAAATTAGGAAAATAAAGCTATGTGATAATGTGAATTCAGTTTCAGCATGTTTACTTTCCATTACATGCGGTAAATATTGGATTCTGGTAGTTTTGGATGGAAACTTTTGATTGCGTGAAACAATTTTAAAGCAGTTGAAACTAGTTGGTACATAATTTCTTATATCTAATTGGTGAAATCCCCATTACTCTTGACCAATGAGAGGGAAGATAATTGTTTTCCCGATCTAAATTCGTTAGTTCCAAAGTCGTCAGCTCTGTTTCCTCCGGTTTTAATCTTTGTAGTCTCAAAACTTTGCAGTTTGAGAAAATAAATAAACAATATAATTGTTTTCATGATTGGAGATCTGAAAGTCAATTGTTTCAGATCAAAAATTTCAACATGATTCTCATTTTTCTGTTAAAAAATCTAAAATTGAACGTGTACATCGAATCTTGACCAATTTTTTTACATTCTCCAAGTTGAAATGTAGTTCCTATATTCCTATTAGAAAATATATATGCTGTGTACTGCAATATCTTCTGTACTGGTACAATTCTGTTATGTTACTGCAATATCTTCTGTACAGGTACAATCCTGTGGTGTACTGCAGTATCTGCCGTACTGGTACAACCCAATAGTGTACTGCTGTATCTTCTGTACTGGTACAATTCTGTTATGTTACTGCAATATCTTCTGTACAGGTACAATCCTGTAGTGTACTGCAGTATCTCCCGTACTGTTACAACTCAATAGTGTACTGCTGTATCTTTTGTACTGGTAGAGCCCTGTAGTGTACTGCATTATCTCCCGCACTAGTACAACCCTTTAGTGTACTACAGTATCTTCTGTTGGTACTGGTACTGAAATATCTTCTGTTCTAGTAAAACCCTGTAGTGTACTGCAGTATCTTCTGTACTAGTACAACCCTGAAGTGTACTGCAGTATCTTCTGTACTAGTACAACCCTGTAGTGTACTGCAGTATCTTCTGTACTAGTACAATCCTGTAGTGTACTGCAGTATCTTCTGTACTAGTACAACCCCGTAGTGTACTGCAGTATCTTCTGTACTAGTACAACCCCGTAGTGTACTGCAGTATCTGCTGTATATTGTACTTTGTATCACCTGTACATTTAAAACCCTGTAGTGTACTAAAATATCTCCTACACTGGTACAACCTAATATTGTACTGCAATGTTTATGTATAGGTACAACCCTCCTGCAATCCAGTGGAAAGCTGATGTTGTGATCAGATATCTTGTTCTCGTCAACTCATCAATTAACTTTATCATCTACTGTATGATCGGATCCAGGTTATTTCCTTTTCAAGGGATTGTTCACTTGGAAACAAGTAAACTAGGAAACTAGGAAACTTGGAAACTAGTAAACTAGGAAACTAGGAAACTTGGAAACTAGGTAACTAGTAAACTTGGAAACTATTAAACTATTAAACTAGGAAACTTGGATACTAGGTAACTAGTAACCTTGGAAACTAGTAAACTTGGAAACTAGTAAACTTGGAAACTAGGAAACTAGTAAACTAGGAAACTTGGAAACTTGGAAATTAGTAAACTAGGAAACTAGGAAACTTGGAAACTAGGTAACTAGTAAACTTGGAAACTGTGATTCAATTTTAATAAAATTATAGATTTAGAGAGAAATAATAAGAATGCACATTTTTGCTTTTATGAACTTTTGATTTTGAGAGAAAAAAAGATTCGCAGATTTTCTTTTGGGCCATTGGAGTACCAAAATAAATTACAAATTTTCAAATAATATTGAAAAAACACCATACAGGAGAGTTGCACAAAAAAGGTACAATTTTGCACCAGGCGCCACAAATCACACTTTTTTTTACTCACCCTGTAGGTAACTAGTAAACTTGGAAACTAGGAAACTAGGAAACTAGTAAACTTGGAAACTAGTAAACTAGGAAACTAGGAAACTAGTAAACTTGGAAACTAGTAAACTAGGAAACTAGGTAACTAGTAAACTTGGAAAGTAGTAAACTAGGAAACTAGGAAACTAGGAAACTAGGTAACTAGTGAACTTGGAAACTAGTAAACTAGGAAACTAGGAAACTAGTAAACTTGGAAACTAGTAAACTAGGAAACTAGGAAACTTGGAAACTAGGTAACTAGTAAACTTGGAAACTAGTAAACTAAGAAACTAGGAAACTTGGTCTAGGAAACTAGGAAACTAGGAAACTAGGAAGCTAGGAAACTAGGAAACTAGGAAACTAGGAAACTAGAAAACTACTTTTCCGGGAAATTTGAAATTTTATTTTACCACGGGTTCCTTCGCTCTGGATGTTTTGTAGACAAAAATTGGTCTCTGGAAACTTTGGTAAAGTAAAATTTCCTTGATTCTGGACGATTTTTAATTAAAAAACATTTTGGTAAAACTTATGTTGCTCTTAGAAACTTATAATTCATAGTTTGCAATGATTAAACTCATTCTTGTAGAAGAAAAGAGTTTTCTTTAGTTTTTCTTCTCTAAATAATTTTAATAAGGATGAATGAGACAAGTAGATGAAAGTAGATTGAAAAGCCCGGCTTTTTGTAGCTCCGAGCCTCTGCGACGGAAAGAGTGTTAGAAATATTTCTCTTTGGCATTAAAGAGAATCGAACCCGAATTTTTTAAGATAGCCATCTTATGAACCGAATAAAAACATCTCTGCACACGTTGTTATAAAGATAAAAAAGATTGCATTACAAAGTTTGGTTGTTAAGAAACTCTTTATTATTATTACAAATTAAACAAGAGGGCGTTTAGGTTTTAAATTCCAATATTGTGAATCAATATGTCATCTTCATTCGTATAGCCAGATTTTAACGGTATCGCAGATATTTTAAAGACAGGCAATATGTTTTTCTCTATACCCCCTTACTACTTTATGTTTATTAATTTTAAAAAATCCTCCGATAAATCGAAAAAGACGCTATCTGTGTCAATTGCAAGTAATTGTTCTGTAAATCCTTCGGACCTATAGGAAAATGTTAGTTAAGAAACAAATGAAATATTTTGATGTCCCATTGGACCATGCATGGAAAGTTCCGGTTTTACAAGAATTTTTAAATACAAGAATGAATAATTTATATGTTGAAGGATTCGATGATTACGTAATAACTGAAATGATAAATATGTTATACAATGAGTATTTTGCGCATAATTTTGCAAATTTTTCTCTTTTCTTTTTGGAAACCTGTATTTTGAAAAATTTATTTAAACAAATGTGTGAATACATCTGTATAATTATATAATAGTATGGATAATCCTATGAACCCCATCGTTGCAACTGAAACGAGAAAACTATGGAATAGAAGACTACGCTATAGCATGCAATCCTCAAGTATATTCAATGTTGCAAATAGTTTTACTATTATTAAATCACTTGTTATAAAAGCTAAATAAGTCTGTTTACACAGGACAATTGCTGTGTCTCGAGTTATTTGGACTATTTCTTAGTCAAGTTCACGATTCGGCCGGCTGTTGGTACCTCACACTAGGGTTTACATTCCAACGAAAATGGCGTTGAACTGTATTCGCAAATTCGATGTATTTTCGACGACTTGGCCAAAATATTTAGTAAATTGTCTGCAAATATACGATTTTGAACAAAGAATCCAAACCTCTCTAAATATTTTATCAAAAATTAGACCCAAATTTCGCGAAAATGGTTTTTCGAGAAAAAAAAAATAAAATTTCGTTTCGTTTTTTACTGGCTGAGCGAATTTTTGTCAACCCTATACCTCATTAATTATTCATATTTGACCGAGTGTATAAAGGTCTACTATAAAGAATGCAGATAATGGCAGAACAAGAGGAATTCTACGAAACTGTGAATAGTTCCTGGAACTATAGGATTATATTATCAGAGAAATAAACATTAAAAAACAAAAATTCAAAACAAATTACAACCAGAAAAAAACGAGAAAAATTTAGATCGATTTTTAACTATTTTATGAACAAACATTATAGTAAAACTGTTGCGCAAATAAACATATTTTCTGAAAGATGAAATTTTTGTTTACATCTTATAAGATATATTTATATATATACATATATATATTTAGGGTTAAGTAAGATAAAATGTATGAGTTAATTTGAAAAAAACGCGCGGATAAGAACTGATTTGATGAGCAAGCACGATCTGCCATGAATTTTTCAAATATTTAAGAGTCAGGTTTCAATCAAGTTTTATTTCTGAGATCTTTCACACTTCGATTTAGAATACCGTATATATATGCTTTCTATCTATTAAATCACAATTTTATACATGCGAATTTAAGCAAAAAGTAATTTTTTCATCTGCTTTTGGTTAGTTTGTTTGTTAAAGATTATCAATGGTTTAGAAAATATATATTTATCTAATATTGTATTCGACTTTTAGTAGATCTAAGTAAACATGAATTAAGAACTGTGTTATGTAAAAATCATGAATCTATTGTACATGATTGTAATGTACAATCTAGAAATCTAAACAAATTTTGTGTGAAAAAAATATGTTATATGTATTATGTACACCCTGATTCCTTAAGGCCAAGAATGAAAATTACCCATTCTTTCTGAATTACTCAAAGTTAAAGATGATAATTTTGTTCTAAATAATATTGTTGAAAATGAGAAAGCAACCATGATTAACTTCTTATATCTTAGACTAGAAACTATATTATATCTTATTTTTTTTTTATAATAATATTGTACCATTATACCTTTGTGTACGAAATAAATCTTTAATAATAATAATAATATAGCAATAGTTTGTGAGATAAATGTCAAATAGGTCAATAGTTTGTTAGATAAATGCAAAACTTTTTTTTCTTTTTAGCTGATACGAAAAGTAAGACAACATTATTGATTTTTTAAAATCATTTAAAAAAAATAGATTAAAAATATTTTGACTAGTTTTTATTATGACATTAATTTGTTTAAGATTTATTGCATGGTATAGGTTTTCTAAAGAATTATTGACGTAAGCCAATATTACAGTTAATTTACAAACAAATAGATCAGAAAACTTGAATAAAATATTTAAAATTTCCAGAAAAAAATCCAAAAATTAAGTATTTAAAAAATTTAATTGAAGATTTCTTGAATAAAAGAAAAAATTCTTTTTTTTCATTTCAATTGCAAGACTGGAATAGTTGACATTTTCTATTTAATATATTTGATATCAAGTGGAAACAAAATCCCCCCCACCATCTTAAAAAAATAACAGAATATTTTTTTGTAGCATGAAACAAAATAAAATTAGCATCTTTTCTACAAATAATTTTGATTTACCCTTTAATACAAGAACTTAATTCATTATTCACAAGAGTTTGGACCGTAATTCCTTTAAAAAACTGCAACAATTTTCATTTCATCCCGCCCCTTTTAAAAATAATAATAAACGATAAAATAATATGTTATTTTTTACAAAGGAGTGTCATTTACTCTCAGAGAAATTAGAATCAATGGAAATTTAAACCCCCTCGGGATTCAATGATAAACCCGAGGGCGCCTGTCTGAGAGTAGATGATACATTCATGAAAATATTGTGGAAGACGACTCCTGTCCGCGTTAAACAAGTTCCACAAGATTCAACAGAATGAGAGAGAACGGATACGGGGCATTAGTACTGAATCATCTACACGTGTGATTTCGACAATAACGATTATTCTGAACCCTCTAGTAATTAGTTATAAGAAATATATATATATACTGGAAGTTATCTATGCGTTTTTATTAGAGTCCGACTTACGTCCTCTATAATATCATATATCCATGGACATGTTAATTATTAAACCACATCCCCCTACACACTTTAAACGTTGAAAATAATATTTTTAGATTTCGAGAGACTCTGTTCAAGCTGATCAAGTTTCGAAAAGATATGGAATCGCCAAGGAAATTTATTTCGTAACATAAATAAAATTTTAGGAGATTTATTTGACAAAAATGTAGATTTTTAGGAAAATATAGAAACATTTAAAACAGTTTTTAAACACAAATGGTTGGGCTTATGATAGTTCAGATTTTAAAACATTCTAAAAGCAATGATTTTAGACTTTAGTACGGCATTATTTTAGATCAACGAGTTTATTATAATTGGTCTGATACTTGTATTGAACAAATTCTCGAAAAAAATACAATCAAAAAAAGTTTGTCGTCATTCAAAATCCAAATTTATTTTTATTTCTATAATTAGCCAAAGTACCAAAAAAATATAAAACAAAAAAATAAGATTTTACGTAAAAAATAAAATATTTGTTAACAGAACCCACTACACAGTGACTCCGCCCTCGGACAACGGATTTGATCTGCAACCTGTTCCTAAGAGCAGACGACAAGCTTCAAGGAAAGACGAAACTACTTTATCTTCAGCAGGACCTCACACTGAAAACCCCAAAATTTTGGTAAGTACTGTTTGAGCTGGGAACTCTTGTGGTGGGGATTTTGAGATCAATGCTTGATCTCAATATTTTTAATCTGCAGATTAATTAGATATCTTTGTTCGATATCCTATAGGGGTAACTGAAATTAAGATATTGAGCGTCAATCCTCAAATAAAAGTGTCCACAATGCTACAGTGGATATCAAGATTAGGTGACCTGAGCTGGGAACTTTAGAATTGGAAACCCGAAATCCCGATGGGTTGATCTGAATATCCAAATTTCCTGTATATAATGAGCATTTTTGCTTGGATATCAATACCAGATTACGACTATGACAGTTCTCTTATTCAATGGCGCGAAAAATTTCAAATTTGACGGCTTCTAATTGGCTGTTTGGGATTCTGCAGACGCCACTCCATTTGTCTATTGTTTCACTTTTTAGGATACAATTATTGAAGATTAAATTTATCTTGAAATTAATAAAAAGAGGAGATCAAGCATTGATCTCAATATCCACAGTTCTAAACTTCCCAGCGCCTCTGTATTATGAACATCCAACACAATGCTAGGTTCGTTCTGAATATTTGCATTGCACACTCAGCTTAGTTTAAATATATATTAAGTTGAACAAGGTTAAATTCTTGATTTGATTTAAAAACATAATTTGATAGGAAACCGGAAACTCCCTGGAGCTGGGACCGACAGAAAAACATCCTTGTGTTGCTATCCGAACTGAAACTGTACAAATAGAGAGATATAGGGAGGCTCCCAAAATAACTCAGGATGCCGAAAATGAAAACGAGCCAAAACAACAAAATAACATCGGAAAACAAAATGGCGAAGAAAAACAAAATGGCGTCGAAATACAGAAGAGCCAAGAAAATCAAAATGGCGTAGAAGAAGAACAAGTCCTACAGAGCAGGGATCTTGTTCTACGAGATATCCAAGTTGTACTGCTCGGCGGAAGAGCAGAATATGTTTAAATGGTCTCAAAACAAAAACAGTAATCCATCCGAAACAGGTGGGCTCAATAGAAAGATTATAGTTCTTCTCCATGTCCGACAGAAAAAACAGAAGCTGTACAACATTATTTATTTGGCGAAATGCTGATGTTTAGAATCGTAGTTATGGAACTTCCCTTACTTAAAGAGTTACGAACAACATTGTTGAAAATGCATCTCAAAAGTTTTATCTTTTTTTAAGAAATGCTGAATGGTTTTCTAGTAAAATAGTTACTACTTACTTGTCTGTCTAGATAGATCTATCTATATATATTCCCGAAAAGCTTTCCAACCCATCCATCCTCAATCAGTGACTCTGTTCTTTACAAAGGTAAAACCTTTAGACTCGGAGAGGAAAGAATATGTTTCACCACTCAGATGTGAATTCACATAAACCTAAAATGTTCTAAAACCATCAAACAATGAAATTCACTTTTGGCTTAAACTAAGAAGAATCTTATTAACAATTCTAAAAGAAATTTGGAGCGGAAATTCAAAATATATTGGTTTCTTTTATTCAAATTTTAAAAAAGAAAGTAATTCTATTTTAGAATATTGTAAAGGCATGTCAGACGGAAAAAAATTCCTTCTTTTTTCTTAAAAAGATCTTGTGAGCACATTCAAGAATAACTCGATTTTATCATTCTTTAGATATTCTTCGTTTAAAGGGTTTCATAATTTTCTTCAAAAAATTTCGCGTTTGAATAAAATATTTTATCTTTCCCTTTTCATAGCTTTTCAAAAAGTTCTTTTGTTATTGATAAAATAATTCAAAACAATAATAAATTTACGGAATAAATCGGTAACTATAAAATAAGCAAACAATTTATGGAACAAAATTCAAAAACATTTAAATAGAATAAATCCTCTATCCTATTCTTTTTATTTCTTAATAGTTGGACAAATTTTCTAACATTTTCATTTAATGTTTATTTACTTTTGATCCCTATTATGTTGTATCATTTATTTGGCTTTTATGTATAGCATAAAAATATACGAGTGAAGTACACCAAAGTATTTAAACTGAGTTTAAAATCAATTTAGAAACCTCTTCCTATTTGCCAATATCCTCCACAGAACTCTAAAGAAATTAAGTTTTTACCACAAACTCAAATTTTCTAATCCCCTATATCTTTACAACCTGATGGCGTAAACGTTTGATATTTCAAATTTGAACTATAGAATCTAAGAAAATTCATTCGGCTGTAAGGCTGCAAAGATATAGGGAGTAGAAATTTAGAGTTTGTGGCAGAAACTCAATTCTTTTGTCATATGTTCTGATTTTAAATGACTTTGGTTGGAGTTTGAAAAAATGTAGATTATATGCTCAATGTTAAATGTTGAAAACTCTTAATCTGGTAGCTATGTAATTGTCTATCTATGTATTGTTTATAGAACTGGTAACTATGTAATTGTCTATTTATGTATTGTTTATAGAACTGGTAACTATGTAATTGTCTATCTATGTATTGTTTATGGAACTGGGAACTATGTAATTGTCTATCTATGTATTGTTTATAGAACTGGGAACTATGTAATTGTCTATCTATGTATCGTTTATAGAACTGGTAACTATTTAATTGTCTATCTATGTATCGTTTATAGAACTGGGAACTATGTAATTGTCTATCTATTTATCGTTTATAGAACTGGGAACTACGTAATTGTCTATCTATGTATTGTTTATAGAACTGGGAACTATGTAATTGTCTATCTATGTATTGTTTATAGAACTGGGAACTTTTAAATGAACAGTCAAAAGTTCTTCAAAAGTTCTTCAAATTCGACTAAATTTTAAGTTAAATTATTTAAATTTTTAATTTCAAAGTTTAAAAGCTAAACTTAATATCTTTTAAATGTTCCAAGATCAATTCACTTGTACAGTACGTAGAGATGTACAGTACGTAGAGATGTACAGTACGTAGAGATGTACAGAGCGTCCCATATCATATTAGATTATCTCCAAATTTTAACGCCAAAATATAACCATAATACTCGAAAAAAATTGTAATTTCCACAAGAAAATTCTTATATTAGCCTTATTCAATTTTTCAAAAGGATCCATTCTTCTTAAATTTTCTGATTAGTCCCGAAAATCGTAATTTAGACCGATGAACGACTAATATGATGTGGGACACCCTGTAGTTGATCACTTGTACAGTACGTAGAGATGTAGTTAACAGCTGATTGTTACATATGAATATGTATATTGTATACCTACACTGTACTGTGTCCATTTGAATTTACCGAAGTCCTGATATCTTAATTAATATATTTTAAATGCAAATGAAATTATATTTTTTTTTATTAGAACCCAAAAACATTAATATTTGTTGTTAATACATAAAAATGATCTCAATTCTTTAAACTTAAAAAAAATATGTATTTAAAAAAGAGGATTAAAGGCAACCCACTCTCCTTCCGGCTCATGTATGTTGTCATCATTATTTTAGATAAGATCAATTTAAAGAAATTGTAACCGTAGTAAAAATGAAATATTATTATTTCTATCTTTTTCATTACGAAAAAATGTATGAAGTGAATTTAGAATAAAGAGAAGATGTTAAAATATATATTTATGTTTGTAAAACCACTAAACAACCCCTGTGTATATAAATGTTTAATATTTATCAACAACAAGAATCAAAATTGTAAAAACATATTATATATATATATATATATATATCTATATTTGTGAAATGTTTTTATGCGATAATAAATGTAAAATGTTGTTAAAGTTTCGATTTGAAATTAAGGTTTTTGTTCACATTCTTAAGAACTTAATTAGTTATTAATAATAAAAGAGCTTGCATACTTCATAGAAGGAGAAATTCAAAGGAATTCAGTCTTTGTCACAAAGTCTGATTTTCCAGAATTCAGTCTTTGCCACAAAGTCTGATTTTCCAGAATTCAGTCTTTGCCACAAAGTTTTATTTTCCAGAATTCAGTCTTTGTCACAAAGTCTGATGTTTCAATACCTTTATCTTTACATCCAAATGTAATTGACCTTAGATATTTTAAACTGTAAATTTTGTAATATCAAATAATTTAAGTTTGAAATAGCAAAGGTTACAAAGATATAGTGATTCAAAAATTTTATATTGTGGCAAAGACTCAATTCCTTTATTATAAATTTATTATTACTAGTACGACTTATAACCTCTCCAGTCTCCACTCTTCAAGTTTTAATTTTACGCAAGTATGAGAGTGAGACACGCAAATTTATTCGATTACATTTTCTAAATTAAAATATTTTTATTCTTCTCAATATCTCTCTCCAATTCATGATGGAAAATTAAATTAACTTTACTTTGACGTGAATTCTGTTTTGTAAGCGCGTGTAGTCTATAGTTTTGGTTTAACATTGATTTTATTTTCCAATTATTTTTATTTAAAGTTCGATTTTCTTTATAGAAAATTTACTTTACGGTTTAACAATTCCCTGAATTCATTGTTATTCAAGCTTAAACCATTTTTATTTGAGAAAATTTAGACTAATGGATTAGAGAAATTTTAAAACTTCAAACTTCAAGCAAACCCTATGCAGACCTAGATTAGAAACCTAGATTAGAACCATGGGGTTCAGAAAAACCTAGATTAGGACCAAGGGTTTCAGAGAAATCTAATTTGGACCAGGGGGTTCCGAAAGACCTAAATTAGAACCAAGGGGCTCAGAGAAACCTAGATTAGGGCTTGGGGGCTCAGAGAAACCGGTATTAGGGCCAGGGGGTTCATAGAAACCTAGATTAGGACCGAGGGATCAAAGAAACCTAGATTAGGACCAGGGGGTTCATAGAAACCTAGATTAGGACCGAGGGATCAGAGAAACCTAGATTTGGACCAGAGGGTTCTGAGAAACCTAGATTAGGACTAGAGGGTTCAGATCTCCTAAATTAGGACCAGAAGGTTCATACAAACCTAGATTAGGCGCAGAGGGTTCAGCAAAACATTGATTAGGACCAGGGGGTCCAAAGAACCCCAAATTAGGACCAGGGGGTTCAGAGAAACCTGGATTTGGACCAGTGGGTGGTTGGTTTCTTCTTTTTTTTGTATTGGTGATTTTTACTTGATAAATCAAGTGCTTTTAGATTAAGTTTTTAAAGTAATTATTGGCAAAATTCTTATCGAGTTTTGCTTAAGTGCTTGCAACCTTTGGATCACATGTGCCCACATGTATTTTTTATTCATTATACTAATTTGGTTTTTTAGATGTATTTGGCAAATTTACCAATAAACCCATAATGGAGATCATATAATTTTTCATAAAAAAGTTCAAAATCTTGATAAAACAAAATCAGGTTATATTTTGACAATGTAAATTGTGTGTTAAATCTTAAATCTTTCAAACTGTTTAAGGGAATTTTATGTGTTACAGAAAACTTTAAGAATTCTAGACTTTTTCCATTAATAAGTTTAAATTTCTGTCCATTGAATGGATTACAATGAAACCCATTAAAATCAATGCACTTTAAACTCACCGTCATACAATCTAATTAGGAAAATGTTTTTTATCCATTGTACCGTCTGGTTCTGCCTTAAACCTAATCCATTGTACCGTCTGGTTCTACCTTAAACCTAATATGTTGTTTATCCATTGTACCGTCTGGTTCTACCTTCAACCTAATCCATTGTACCGTCTGGTTCTACCTTAAACCTAATCCATTGTACCGTCTGGTTCTACCTTCAACCTAATCCATTGTACCGGCTGGTTCTACCTTAAACTTAATCCATTGTACCGTCTGGTTCTACCTTAAACCTGATGTATTGGTACAAACTGATGTATAGTTACCAGTGCAAAGTTGCTAGTGTATTAAATCTCTTTATAATTACCTTACCGTCAAATGAGTTGCCACATGAAGGGCTCGGCGTTGCCCGTGGAAATAAAAAATGAAATAGAAAACAATAAAAATATGTTTAAAATTAAAAATAAAAAAATGTTGAAAAAAACAAATTTCGAATTTTTTTAGACTACGACACCCCCCGGCCACCCCTGAGTGTCCACAGAAAATTTCAAGCCAATCGGTCCAGCCGTTTGGCCGGCTATAGGCAACATATATTTATACGAATGTCTTGTTTTATTATATAGATTATATTACATAGATACCATTGTATATTTATAAAGTTAATATAAAAAGTTAATCTATTTGTTCATCTAATTGTTTATCTATTTAAAATGCACAAAAAAAGCATAATCCTCCTAATTATTTCAATCATTTTTTAAAAGTGTATGACGGATTGATTTTTCTGTCTCTAATCGATCTGTTGAAAGTGATAAGATTTGTTTAGTTTGTATCTTAATCCCTGAAAATTTGATACTTTAATTGGTAACCATCCTTATTAAAATTTGATATCTTTTCCATTTTTATTAAAAACTATCAAGGGAACCCAGCGTTGCCCAGGGTACTCATAGTTACTCCAGGCAGTTTACCCGCACTTGGCCGATTTTTACCGTTTTTGTTATTAAATTAAGAAGCTCAAAACAAAGATAAGAACATTCCCATGGCTTTTCCAGATCCCATAAAAAAAATTGAGGCAAATCGGTTCAGTGGTTCCTGAGTTATAAACAGACAAACAAACACCAAAACAGATTACAACTTTACATTTAATGCCTTACCCCAATAAATAGTTTTAGATCCGTGCCAATCCAGGTACAACCTTCAGTATGCTCAGGTGCAAAAATATCTAAATATCAAATGCCAAATGATCAAATGGCGAATTATACAGTCCAAACGCAGTACATTTCAATTAGGTCTACAAGCTAGAAATGTAAACAAATCAGAGAAAAATCATAACAACGGATTGTACTGCGTTGTTCATCTCAAAACCGCTTAAATGTCAACAACAAATTTTTTGCAGAAAATGCTAGATTTTTTGAGTATTATGTGCGTATTTTGGCGTTAAAGATTGGAGATAATCTAATATGATATGGGACGCTCTGTATAATCATATGGTAGGGCGAACCGCGTCAGTTGTCTCTCCCTTCTATTCCTTGCTCCCTGGTCAAGACTCAAGTGTACGAAGAAATTATCTATCTATCAGATAAGAAATTAGCATGAGACATCTAGCGGCCAACATATCGTCCCCCACAGTACGTAAACTACACGACCACTATCTATAGATATTTTGCTCTCTGTATCTAAATATAAATTTGGCTTGTCTGTCTGTTTGTCTGTTTGTTTGTTTGTGTCCAATAAACGTCAAAACGGCTGAACCGATCGGGCCCAAATTTTGTGTGGGACATCTAGGGACCCCAGGGAAGGTTTATGAATGATCAAAATTTCAAATATTTGTCTCCATCAAAATTCGATCTTCATTAAATTTTTGAACATTTTGGAAATCCACGAATTTTTTTGTGAAAATCCGCGAATTATTTTTTTTTTTTTACGATGTACACAAAGAGAACATGTTCACAATTAATTAAGAAGATGGGCGCGAAGCGCCCTCTAAGGCTAGTATGCCTACATTTCCTCAACATTATCCTTCTCTTAAATTTATAAATAAGAGCTGTATTATATAGATAAACAATTTATCAGCATATCTCTGAAAAACTTGATCTGATTCCAAGAAAAAGAATATATATTAGCATATATAGTGTTTTTGTTTATGTGCTCAATCTGGTTGGAAATGGCACCTTGCCATTTCCTAACTTATCCTACGATATGGAATAAACTAACATTTAATATTTAGAAAAACTCGAAGATTTTTTTAACAGATTTACAAAGAAATTCAGTTTTGGCATGATTTTTAAATCCCCATATCTTTGCAACCTAATGATGTAGATCTTAGCTATTTCAAAATATAAATATGATTAGTAATTATTGACAATAGATTAACACGCGCGGATAAAAATGTATACTTTTTAAATATTTGCGTAATTTGTAACTTAAAAAGTATGTTAAATCTACACTCTTTACATGTATCTATAAGTAGTTCGAACCAAGTCGATAAAAAGTTTTTCCCCTGAAAATACGCCAAGATGGCTATATTATCACTTCAAACTAAAGTAAATTGT